TCACCAGACAAAATAAAAAAAAATAAAAAAAATTTAGAATTTAATTTTGTTTTCATAATAATTTTGAACTTATTTAATAATCAAAAATAAAATTCATAAAAGCATAATTTAAAGAGAGAATGATCCAAGTTCTCTAACTGAATTCCCCAGCCAATTTCAATACATATTAAACCCAACTATTAAAATTTCAAAACCATTTTAGCTTTAAACAAGCCATCATGAATTTAATTCATTTCACCTACTAGTTAAGTAGTTATTCTTCAATAGCAATGCTTCCTCACAACATCACAAATAGAGGAGACTTGAAGCTTTATCTATGATGATCATATACCTTAAAAAAATAAAAAATAAAAAAGAAGAAGAAGCAAAAATACCACTCATTTCTTGTACATTTTGAAGCTGTGATACATAGAATTTAATTTTTCATTATTTATCTTTATATAAGTGTACCCCAAGCCAAAGAACAACAAACACTAATAACAGCCTCCATGCAAAAAGGCTTTACATCATCATACAGGTTGTATGTACAAAACTCTTTTCCATTCATCTTCCTCTGTCAAACTCTTCACAAAACATATTGTAGCCAAACCACTCTCTAACCCTTTTTCTACTTTCATCCTCTTCTTTTTATTCACTGTATTGTATGTTAGGTGTGTTGCCCATATGACATGTTGGCATGTTGTTCAAAGATTATTTTCTGCAAATATATCCGACAGAGAGAGAGCCTGTAAAATCCAAAACCAGCAATAGATATGTGAAGGATACAAGCAATAGAAAATTGCTGGAGTAATGTACAAAAGCAGTACAAACAATCATGAAAAAACAAAGCATCCTTATGGAATACTATTTACCATCAAATATTTGTACCTAATGCTATGCAGAGGGTCCTTTTATTGAAATTTGGATGTTACATTCTCCTGAAGGCATCCACCATCTGATTTGGTATCACCTTTGTTGTATAATTAATGACAAGTTCGATTTTCACACTCTCAATGATAGCAAAAGTTCAAAAAATGCAACTTGTGCCCTAATTTGTAGGCATATTTTGTGTTGATCCTGAACGTTTTATCATCTCAATTTTTATTTTTTGATCCTAAACGTTTTATCATATCTCTTTCTCAGATCACTCTTTATCGCATCTCCCTCTCAGATCACTCTCTCAATCAGATCCCCTCTCTTGATCAGATGACCTCTCTTAGATCAGATCCCGTTTCTCTTGCTCAGATCCCTCTCTCAAATCCCATTGTCCTCCTCTTCTGCCATCCAGTCGCAGCCCCCCATCTTCTCCGACGAGGAGCATCGATTTTGCATCCTTCTCCAACCACTAAGCAAGACTCTTCTCCGACGAGGAAGTCCAGTCCATCAAAGACTAGTCCGACGAGCAAGACCAGGGCGAAGGTCATCGAGCTCATTACGTAGCTCGAGGCGAAGAATCCGACTCTTGCACCGACGGAGGCATTGACTTTGCTAAACGACAAGTGGATTATAGCGTAAGTTTTAATCATCATTGCATTAATTAATTGTTTCATTATAATTTAATTTAATTTATTTATTTTTATTTGTTAGTATGATCCACATGGTTATTCTATAGCCCTGAGTTGTGAGCAATAAGTGTGGAGAACTTGAAACAGGCACATAACCCACGTGTTTATGTTGTTAGGTAGCTTTAAATGAAGTACCATGTTAAGGCCTAACTTTGTGAAATGTTTTCAATAATTCAAGACCAATCAAGGCATCATGTGAGCTCTACTTACCCAAATTAGTTTCATCTCATACTTTTAAATGTGAAATCCTACACCATCATTATGGGATATGAAATGAAATTACAACATTCAAGTGTAATTTAGTTGGATTATTGTTAATAATTTTGTCCCACAACTGAAGAATTGTGTGGAGAACAGAGAAGTTGCATTGACAAAAAATAAAGATTGAGATGATAAAACGTTCAGGATCAGCACAAAATATGCCTACAAATTAGGGCACAAGTTGCATTTTTTGAACTTTTGCTATCATTGAGAGCGTGAAAAACGAACTTGCCATTAATTATATAGCAGAGGTGATATCAAATGAGATGGTGGATGCCATCAGGAGGATGTAACATCCAAATTTCAATAAAAGGACCCTCTGCACAGCATTAGGTACAAATATTTGATGGTAAATAATATTCCATAAGGATGCTTTGATTTTTCATGATTGTCTGTACTGCTTTTGTACATTACTCAAGCAATTTTCTATTGCTCGTATCCTTCACATATCTATTGCTGGTTTTGGATTTTGTAGGCTCTCTCTCTGTTGGATATATTTGCAGAAAACAATCCTTGAACAACATGCCAACATGCCATATGGGCAACACACCCAACATACAATACAGTGAAGAAAAAGAGGAGGATGAAAGTAGAAAAGGGTTAGAGAGTGGTTTGGCTACAATATGTTTTGTGAAGAGTTTGAAAGAGGAAAATGAATAGAAAAGAGTTTTGTACATACAGCCTGTATGATGATGTATAGCTTTTTTGCATGGAGGTTGTTATTAGTGCTTGTTGTTCTTTGGCTTGGGGTACACTTATATAAAGATAAATAATGGAAAATTGAATTCTATTTATTACGGCTTCAAAATGTACAATAAATGAGTAGTATTGTTACTTTTTTTTTTTTTTGAGGTATATAATCATCATAGATAAAGCTTCAAGTCTCCTCTGTTTGTAATGTTGTGAGGAAGTATTGCTATTGAAGAATAACTACTTAACTAGTAGGTGAAATGAATCAAGTTCATGATGACTTGTTTAAAGCTAAAATACTTTTGAAATTTTAATAGTTGGGTTTAATATGTACTGAAATTGGTTGGGGAATTCAGTCAAAGAACTTGGATCATTCTGTCTTTAAATTATGCTTTTATAAATTTTATTTTTGATTATTAAATAAGTTCAAAATTATTATGAAAACAAAATTAAATTCTAAAATTTATTTAATTTTTTTTTTTTGTCTGGTGAATCATGATGTGAGAAATTAGGTGGAATAATTGGTTTTTATGAAATTTATTACAAGTAGGTTGGAGACTTTTGGCTAAGAAAAAGTCATTGTAAAAAGCTAAGATGACGTTTTTAAAACTTCATTGCAAATAAAGGGGTAGAAAACGTCATTATTAATAAAGGGGGTAGAAAACGTCATTGTATTATGGTCATTGTAAATGATGTTTTTGCCCCTTTATTTTTTTTAATGTCTGTTAGCGGCCATTTAAAAATTAATGTTTGAAACGTCATTATAAATGATGTTTTTCGGAAAAAAATTTTCAACTTTAAATTATCATTCCAAATGACGTTTTAACAACTAAAAATATCATTTCAAATGACGTTTTTAAAAAGAAAACTGAGTTTGAAAAATAAGTTCAAAACTAACTTAGTTTTGGAATTCAGATTTGAGGGAAACTGGGTTTGGGGAAAACCTCCTCCACTTGCCTCTCTTTTTATTCTTCCTTTTCTTTCTACCCAATTGACCCCACATATTGTATTTATAGATGTGCACAGTTGACATCAGCTTCACCAATGTATTCCCTAAGGAGTAATGTGACTTGTACTTAATTTGCTGAATTACTAAAAATAATCTAATTCATTGTAGCCATTGTATTTATAAAACATCTCAATGTTATAGGGGGTCCATTATCAATTTAACAACCGTAGTGAGTTATGTCAATAATTAATATATAAGTGTGTGTATGAGAGAGAGAAATTAAAATTGATTTGTTGTTAGATAAAACTCTTTTGTTTGTATTTTGTCAATTGGGTAATTTTGAAGTTTTTATAGAAGGTCTGTGATTGATGAAGAGAATCCTACTTTTGTTATTTTCAAATTTTTTTAAGTATTGTTGTGATTACTCTCGGTTTTGGTTTATGTATTGAAGGTTTCATTTTGATCGATTGATGTAAAAAATCTCAACTTGAACCCAATCTAAATTTAGCCCGAGCCTGTCTAAATTCAACTTGAGCTAGTACTTCGGGTTAATGTCGGTTAGAGTTACAGTTAAATATTATATACTTATGGTTGAGCTAAGGTTGACCCTTCAACCCGCTTGAGTTGCACCTCTACAGCTATCTAGACAACCTGCACAATCAACATCTGAGTCCTCTTTCAATGAAATTGATTGATCCATGAAAAAATTGAAGACCATAACCAAGAGTGTCTTTAAGGTATCGTAAAATCTTTTTTACAGCCCGATGATAAATATTAGTATGATTTTGCATGTTTCTGAGAGACACAGTTTACTGCAAAGGCAATATCTGAACGAGTAAATGTTAAATACCGAAGAGAGCCAACAATCTATATAATAAAACAGAAGTGTGTTTGAATTTTATCTCAGTCATATTTTTTTCCCTCAAAATCATCATCAATCACTTACTTCATCCATCATCCATTTGTCAGATTCAAACGACAAATCACATCACTCATTTCTATCACATATATAATCATTTATATATTTCCTCCTTAAAAATATTACATCACTCATTTCTATCATATATTTAATTTTATATTTTATCGTGCCTTCAAACACGGGTTATGACTAGTATTACCATATTAGATAAGAATATCAAAACGTGTTTTACATCTATAAAATAACATCTCTCAAACTACTCTATGATCCTTATGAGCCTTTTCATACATTGCTAATTGATTTGAGTAAAATGCTTTAACACAACTTTATTATAGTATTATACTTTTGATACACAACTAATATAAATACAATATATTATCATTGTAAGTCTAAAAAAGATTTCCAAGACGAGGAACACATAAAACACTGGTGCATGTCTTTGGTAGGAATGCACCCTCCGACTTACTAATATTCTAAATCAAAAAGAAGATCTCCAAAGAGGGGAACACATAAATGGCATCTAGGTTAAACCCAAGTAGTTAACTTTATTATAATGCTACGGACATGGAAATCTAGTGGTCAGCTTGAATTAATTCAATTGTAGACCAGCCAGAAAAGCTTCATGTTGTCACAAAAACTAACTTTGCATGGTATGTGCATGCTCTTGTATCTCCTTCCAAGCCTTGTTCACATGGCAATAGTCTGTAAGTGTTGCTCCAACAGCAAGCCTTATCACGTATACTCCCCCAACCACAGCATGTGTCATGTACACTCTCCCTGCTGCATTAATGGATTCCAAAAGCTTGCTGTTGAATTCATTTGCATCTTCTTCACCTAAAAGCTTCTGATTAGCATTTGCCACCATTAATGGAGAAACCCGAAAAACAAACCATTGCAAAATTTCTAGGCACCACGACCTCGAATCTCTTGTCCATGGCTATGAGCCCTTCAAAATGTTTAGCCATTTTTACATGACCCCTTATGAATTTTCTGAGGTTTGATACTCCATAGCTTCTAAGAACGAACCATATCTTCATTGCTCGAAATCGTCGGCTCAATGCTATTTGCCAGTCTTTGTAGTCCACCACTTGGTTTGAATCAGAAGCCTCGTTCTTCAAAATCTCAGGATCAGTTGAGAGAGCTTTGATTAGGGCACTTGGGTCTTTTAACCAGAGGCAGCAACAATCCAAAGTGGTCAAGAACCATTTATGTGCATTGAGGCTAAATGAGTTAGCACCGTCAATGCCATGAAGAAAATAGTGGAACTCTGAGCAAATAAATGCACTTCCTGCATATGCAGCATCAATATGAACCCATATATTATAGTCTTTTGCTACATCACATAATGGCCCCAATGGATCAACTGCATTTGATGAAGTAGTCCCTATAGTGGCACAGAAAAAACAATGGAATTAGCCCAGATTTAATATCTGATTGAATTGCTGACCTTAGTGAATCGGGAGACAACCCAAATGCAGTAGACTTTTGTGGTCATGAGAGATCGAATATTCGAGGGGTTAATG